ACCCCCTTTCCTTGGCCCCAGGATCCCCAAACCCCTTCCCGGCTCTCCCAGTTCCCCTTTCATTGATCCATGACCCCCTCAGTCCCCCCAAATCTGTGTCCCCCCAGTTCTCCATTCCCTGCGTTACCTGCATGTGGCGGTGTCAGAGCCCAGCCCAGGGGTCCCCCAGTACATGATCTTGGGGTTCGTGGACGGGATCCCCTTCACGCGCTACGACAGCGAGCGGGGCCGGGTGGAGCCACAGACGCAGTGGATGGAGGAGGGAGCTGAGCCGGGATATTGGGAGAGCCAGACCCAGATGGCTCAGGTGCACCAGCACGTGCGTGTGGAGGACATGAAGACGCTGCAGCACCGGTACAACCAGAGCGGGGGTGAGTGGGGGAATCTGTGGGGCTGGGATGGGGTCCATGGACTGGGATGGGATCTGTGGGGCTAGGATGGGATCCATGGACTGGGATGGGATCTGTGGGGCTGGGATGGGATCTGTGGGGCTGAGATGGAGATCTGTGGGGCTGGGATGGAGATCTGTGGGGCTGGAATGGGATCTGTGGGGCTGGGATGAGATCTGTGGGGCTGGGATGTGAATTGTGGGGCTGGGATGAGATCCTTGGGGCTGAGATGGAGATCTATGGGCTGGGATGGGATCCGTGGGGCTGGGATGGGATCCGTGGGGCTGGGATGAGATCCATGGGGCTGGGATGGGATCCATGGGGCTGGGATGGGATCCGTGGGGCTGAGATGGAGATCCGTGGGGCTGGGATGGGATCTGTGGGGCTGGAATGGAGATCCGTGGGGCTGGAATGGGAACTGTGGGGCTGGGATGGAGATCCATGGATTGGGATGAGATCTGTGGGGCTGGGATGAGAATTGTGGGGCTGGGATGAGAATTGTGGGGCTGGGATGGGATCCCTGGGGCTGGGATGGGATCCCTGGGGCTGGAGTAGAGATCCGTGACTTTGGGACATGGATCCATGGGGCTGGGATGGGATCTGTGGGGCTGGGACACAATTCCATGGGTCTCTGTGGGTTCAATCCCCCCAGGTCTCCACACCATACAGCGAGTTTCCAGCTATGACCTCCTGTCCGATGGGAGCGTCCGTGGATCCTGGCGGTACGGCTACGACGGGCGGGATTTCATCTCCTTCGAGCTGGGATCCAAGAGCTTCGTGGCGGCCGACGACGCTGCTGAGATCACCCGGAGGCTCTGGGAAGATGAGAACGAGGTTGAGAGGCGGGAGAATTACCAGGGACACATCTGCCCGGAATGGCTCCGGAAATATGTCGGATATGGGCGGAAAGAGCTGGAGCGCAAAGGTGGGTGGGAATTTGGGATTTGGGAATGGAGGACTTGGGAACGCCATAATTCCTGTGGGAATTCCATGGGCGGATATCTTTATCCCATTCCCACAGAATTCCATGGGCAGATCTCACCCATTCCCATGGAATTCCATGGGCAGATCTCACTCCCATCCCATTCCCATTCCCACAGAATTCCATGGGCAGATCTCGCCCCCATCCCATTCCTATGGAATTCCATGGGCAGATCTCGCTCCCATCCCATTCCCATGGAATTCCATGGTCAGATCTCACCCCCATCCCATTCCCATGGAATTCCATGCATGAGTTCCACCATTATCCCATTCCAGTGGCCCCTGATGTCCATGTGCCCGGAAAAGAGGAACATGGGACACTGATCCTATCCTGCCACGCGTACGGATTCTATCCCAACACCATCACAGTCAACTGGATGAAGGGGGGTGAAATCTGGGATCAGAAGATGGAGTGGGGTGGGATCGTTCCCAACAGCGATGGCACCTTCCACACCTGGGCCAGGATCGAGGCACTGCTGGAGGAGTGGGAGCAGTACCGGTGCCGGGTGGAGCATCCCAGAATGCTGGAGCCCGGGATCTTCGCTTGGGGTGAGGCTGGGAATGTGGGAATTGGGGATTTTGGAATTCTGGAATGGGGATTCCGCTTCCCCTCCTCACTATCCCACGTTTCCCAGAGCCGACATCTGGCGGGAATCTCGACATGGTGATCGCTGTGTCCGTCATCTCCATCCTCGTCCTTGTCCTCATTGGATTCAGTGTCTGGAGGCTCCAATCCCGTAACACACGGATGGGGGTCGGGAAGGGGCACAGGATACCCGGCACTGTTCTGGGAATGCAGCACCCACACTGATCCCGCTGTTTTTCCACAGGGAGGAGGGACGGGAATGGATACAACCTGCCAGCCGGTGAGTTCCAGTGGTGGATCCAGCTCTGAATCCCCTCTTTGTGCATCCCAGGATGGATCCTGGGGTTAATCCCGGTGTGTGATCCATGCTGGAATCTCACGGATCTTCTCTTTCTGCAGGAAGGGACATGGAAATGAATGGCTGAACCACACTTACGGAGCGGGATTGGGGTAGGATTCTAGAGGGGGATCAAGGCAGGATGGATGGACTGGGATCAGGGAGGGTGTCGTGGTTTTAAACCAGTAACTAAAAAAACTACTTATTTCTTGTTGTGAGATATGGATTAGAACAAGAGCAAAACAGGCTTAAGACTTAAGAGGAATAAAGACAGTTTATTAACAAACTACAAGAATAAGAATATCAGAATAAACTTTCAGAAAACCTCTTTATCTTCCACATCTTAACTATTTCTCTGTACACATGACAACATAGAGACAAATAACTTTAGGACTTTGGTGGTTAAAAACAGTCTTAATTCTTGCTACAGTCTTTCATCAGTCTTTGTAGAGAAACAGAAGTTTCCTTCTGTTAGCTTACGGAGTTTCTCACGAGAAAACTATTTTTCATCATAGTTTTCTATTTCTCTAATGCCAGCTGCCCGGAAATCTGTCATTAGATCTTCTCTTCCTATTTCACATCTCTGAGGTGTGTATGGGTCACAGAGTTTAGGAATTTCATTTTTAAGGATAAGTTATTCAAAGGCAGAAGTCTTCTTCATTTGTCTCTGTGAGCCTTCCTGGAAAACAGTTTTCTCTTTGCTCCCCAAAGCTTCAAAATCTTCACTCAACTCAATTCCAGCAACTCACAGTATTACAAGTACTCTCTCTCTTCTGCTCAAAAGTTACACTTTGAATATCTCGTTCCTCCTAATACTCTTATCATGAATTAAAGGAGTCTTTTTATACTATTATTGTCCATCTCCATAGCTTTAACAGAAAGATATTTCAGCTGTAAAGCATCTCCTTATTCTCTCTTTCTTATTTAAACTTAACTCTTTTCTTCACTGTTTTTGGTGGTTCTATGATGTCTCCTCTATGTTGATTGTCTCTCTCTCTGTCTTTCTGAGAAAAGGAGTAATCTGTATGTTTATCCAGGTAGTAAAAGAATTAAAAGCTTTAAGAAAACTGCAAGAGTTCATGGTGTTAAGTTTCAGTCTAGCAGCAAAAACTGAAAACCAAGCTCGGCTGACCAGCGCTGCTTCTCTTCCCCCTCCCCCACCCGCTCCTCCACCGCGGCCTTGGCGGCCTGGGGGGTGGGGGGAAGGCCAAGACAGAGCCTGCTACCTTGTCAGAAGCCGGAAACTAAAGAGGGCAAGAGAAGTCCTGTACTTTTTAAGGGGGTGTTTACAAGTTGAATTCACTTTTTAATGGTCAGATCTGCTGTCAATTCTTGGAAATGACCGATAATTGGTCAGGAGGAAAAACTCCCATCAGCCACCAGCAGCTTCAACTTCCTCTCCCTCCAAGCTGTCTTAAAGGTAAAGCTACCCCATGACAGAGGGATTCCAGATTAGAGCAGGGATCCAGAGCAGGATCAGATGGAATTGTTGAGTGGGATTGGTGCTGGATTCTGGAGCAGGATCAGGTGGGATGGATGGAGCAGGATTGGTGTGGAATGGATGGAGAGGGATCAGGGCTGGATTCCAGACAAGAATCAGGTGGGATGGACTGGGGCAGGAGGGACGGGGTGGGATCAGGTGGGATTCTGGATTAAGCCAGGATTCCAGTGTGGGATTAGTTGGGATGGATGGAGCAGGATCAGGTTGGGATTCCCAAGAGGGATTGGGGAAGGGTGGATGTGGCAGGATTGAGTGGGATGGATGGATGATGAATGATTGATGGATGATGGATGGATGAATGATTGATGGATGATGGATGGATGGATGGATGGATGGATGGATGGATGGATGGATGGAGTTGGATCAGTTGGGATGAATGTAATAGGATTATGGCAGGATTGGGGCAGGATCAGGTTGAGATTCCAGAGAGGAACTGGGGCAGAATGGATGGAGCAGGATCAGGTTGGGATTCCGGAGCAGGATTGGGGCAGAACGGATAGAGCAGGATTGGGGTGGGGTCAGGTGGGATTCTGGAGCAGCTGCTGCTCCCCGTGGGCTCCAGCCAGGTCCATCCTGTGGAATGGGGACAGGGACAGAGTGACACCATGACCCTCTCTCATCCCGGCAGAAATCACCACCGGAGCGATCCACAGAGCTGGATACAGCCCTTTCCCTCTTCCCAGGAATGCTGAGAGCTGCCAGCAGAGCTCATCCCACTGCTGCCACCCACCCCACAGCTCTTGCTAATGGATCAATTTCCCGTTTTCCAATGTTTTAGAGCCAAAACCCACAAATATTCCTGATGCTTTAGTTCTGGTGTGAAATTATCCTGCTTGGGGCAAGAAATCCTGCTTGGAGCAATAAATCCTGCTTGGGGCGAGAAATCTGGGCTCCTCCTCCAGTGTCAAGCAGTTCCTCTCTGGGAGCCTGGAGTGGGAGTGGGGACACTGGGGACAGGGATGGGGACATTGGGGACAGGGATGGGGACACTGTGAGTAGGGATGGGAACAGCAGGAATGGGAATGGGGACACTGGGGACTGGGACAGGGACACCAGGAACTGGGGTGGGGACACCAGGAGTGGGTTGGGGACACCAGGAGCAGGCTGGGGACACAAGAAGGATGGGGACAGGAGGAGTGGGTTGGGGATAGCAGGAAT